CTGAAAGATACCCAACGCGCTCTTTGCGCCTTCCTCACTGATGCGCTAAAGACCAGCACAGGGCTCTGAACGACGCCAAGCACTGAAAAGTGAATGACTATCCTACCACTCACAAGGCAGTCAAGTTGAAAGTAGCAGACGACGTTCTACGTTGAACAATCTAACTAGATGACAGTTCAGAGAGTCGTGTGCTCTACAATACACGATGAGGCCGAGGGCAACAGTGAGGCCTCAAACTTTATTTCAAGATTGCCAAGACGCGTCTTTCTCTGATTTTTCCACGCGTCTCTCTGGAGCCAAGCCGGGAACGGCGCGCAACTTTTTCTTGACATATTCGCGTGATTGTTTGTCTCAGAGCATTTGGACAAGGACGCGTCGATGGAGAATACCCGTTCGCGTCGGGCACTAGAGATACTGGGCAAAATGCACACGGGCTGTTCAAACTCTAGAGTAGCCCAGCAAGCGATGCTGACAGAGTTCAAGAAGCCACGCGACGCGCGTGTTGCCAAGACTCTCGTTCACCAAAAGAACGGCACAGCATTGCGCAACCTGTTTTTGATGCGACATGTACCACGTGGGCGCAAAAAGCTTTGTTCATTGAATTTCTCATCCAGCTCGCACGCACACCAGTGAACTGTTCTGATGCAGTCACACTGGAAGGCACGCATCACATTCGACAAGAAGAAGCACCTGACGTTCTGTAAAATTTTGCCCATACGATTGCGATATGATCATTGGCAATGATGGTGGTCAGCAGTGCACGTACAAAGACGTCGTGGCCACTGCACAATCTTCGCAAACCAAGCAATCGATGGAGGTACGTCAAACAATTGAGGTGCATTGAGCATTATTATCAGGTCTAAAAGCTGACAGATCGCTGCAGGTGATATGTCCAAAGCGATGATACGTTGTGGTTAGATTTCATTCTCTCGAATTTCCCGTGCTTCCAGAAGGGTATCCCGGATGCCCTCGCAATCTCCACTGTCGCCGCCATCTTGATACGATGTTGACCTGTCCAGCTCTGCATTCACTACAGCTAGCTGATCTTTTCCGACTGTGAGATACTTGCGGAAACGGGGTTCTCTTGAAACGTAAACACAAAAGCTGAGCTTTTCTCGTGTACGCAACCGGGTCAATGCGCCGAAAGATCGTACGAGGACTAATTCTCAGTGGGCGTGGGTGAGGGTCTAATCTTTGACGCACGTTCTGACTTGCAGCTTAGTTCTACACCATCTCTATGAGCATGAGCAGCAAAAAAAATGCAATGCGGCGATGTGCTGCTCGCTCCTGCTACGACGTTGAGCAGGTTCCAGGATCAAGCTAAGAGCATGAGTTATCAGCCGAGGAACTTAGCTTGAGCCATCAGCCGAGAAAATTGGTGCTACCAGGTCTGCTACGGACTGCGAGCGGCACCGGTCATCTTGCATCCGAATGTCTCTACAAGATTGACACCACACGGTTCGCAGCGTTTGGTTTGACTCCGAGGCGCAAGGAAACCTGGCTTGATTATGTGTCGGTCGTGCTGTATGCAGCTCTTTCCGTGGGTGTGTCGTAGTGGAGTTTTTCTCTGATTTGTCATTTTGTGGGGAGCTCGCAGTGAGCTTGAGCTTGCTGCGACACTCCCATGCCTTTTTTCAAAGAAGTTTGGGAAAGTCAAATTTGAAGTGTAAAATGCACAGCAAAGAAGGAGACACGGAAGAGCGAAAAATTCTGATTGTGATGTCACGACTCCGCCCGAGACCGAAATTGTAAAAGATCTGAGGGAACAAGTAAGCTCACGGCTTAGCAGCGGAAGACACTTTAAGACCACAACGTTTCTGGCAGTTAACGCATAGTCCAATGATCTCGCCCCGCGTATTCGATACCCTCAATGGGACGTGATGTCATGACAGCAACTTTTGGGACCGCTTCAGTCAGGATTCTGCACTTCGCTTTTGAACTTATGAAAATGACTCAATTTTGAAAGCAGCTCCTGACAATGACGCACAGCTTCTATCTTGCCGGGATTTTTGATAAGTTCGTGAACGAATCGGGAGGCTCAAAATCTTGTCGCTTCTCTAGTGAAGACTATCCAAACTGGGCTAACGAGCTCTGCTTGCCACGCTTCCAATGCTGTGTCATAGAAGTAACGTTAGTGGTTCAACAGCATCTTCAACACCGGTGTCCTACCTGACGGTCGAAAGAAAGTTCGTCACAACTGGAGTTGGAGGATAAGTTGCTTGGGCTAGTCAATGCATCAGCAGACTTTCGCTCACCCTTTTGGTCTCGATTGTCAGACGGCAGCCACTCCTATCAATTTCCGTAGTCTGACCATAGCTCAGTCTGCAAAAGCGGAACATCAGCTGGACTGGTATAAGGACAGGCGAGCTTCGAAGGCTCGATTGACCTGCTTGCAGACGCTTCAGGTTGATAGGTTTCGTCTTTTGAAACTGAAAACGCTGTCCCGATCACAAACCCCCGAACCTTGTCACACGTCAACGGAGTGTGTTTCTTCTGATCATCGAAAATCAAAGTAAGCTGCAAATGCGCGGATGGCGCAGCAGGCGGAGTGCGTCACTGGAACAATTGCGCGACTCAAGCACATGTCTTGATCATATTGTGACATGTGGTGCACTACTTGCGGTCAGTTCGACCAACGCAAGTATATACCGTATATCTGCATTGTTGACGCTCTTGAAGTTGCTGGCGTGGAATAGTCCGTGACTAAATCAGACATTCTGTGAACCATTCACAAAGTGTATGTCTCTCTCGACAGAAATCAGCCTACTTCAACCCCACCAAGCATTTTTGCAAACTGGTCGAAGCACAAGCCAAAGCTGTTGCCAGACTCTTAGTGGGATTGTCACCCAGGTCGCTCTTCTCTGGGTCTTTGTTGAGGTGGTCTTGCTGAGGCACGGGCCAACCTATTGCCATTGTCGATTGTCATCAAACGCGAGACATTTCCAAACAGACCTGTCGAAGAACAAGCGGAATAAAGTGTGGTGCAAGTGCAGAGCAACTGATTCCTGTAAGACAGCAAGAAAGAAGAACATCGCCTCTGTGAGTGTAATGCAAAAAAAACAGGACTGCACAATGATATGGAGGCGTGGAGCCGCTTTTTTCCTGGTATCAGCTTGTAACGCAGCCAGCACCTTGTTTTTTTTTGTGACACTTTTTCTTGCAACACCTCCTTGTCTATCACGCTCAGTTTGCCCATTGGAGTCCCGTACACATTTTGCTGGCGAAGACTTGTAGTGAAGTTGTAAATCCGTCTTGCTCTGAACCACCAGGACGAAGAGGGGACTTTCATTGGACTGCCACTTACCACTACTGTGAGCGCTTCAAATGTCCATAGTCGGGAGCGTGAAATCAACGCCACACAGAAGGGTCTCCATCAAATGCTCTCTGACGACAACAGACGGTCATCACAATGGTCGCATTTGTGGCCCGTCTCGAAATGGTCAAAAAACCGAAATGGTCAAGCGACTCTCGGCTTTTTGCAGGCAGCGTCGACGCGTCAGGATTGTCTTTATGAGTGCAACGCACGTTACAAAGCCGTTCCGCTCCGCTCTCACCGGACATTGCAGTAGCTTGAGACACTGCACTAAGGCGCAAAAGCTTCGTAAGGACAAGTGGGGCTTGCAGTGCTGCGTGGATATCAGCAGTAGAACAAAAAGTTGATTCAGAGCCCTCAGCGCTGTACCATGCTGCACGCACACCTCAAACGCTCTTGCACAGCTCCTCTTTGACTGCTGCAATCGTGAATGTGCTCTATTTTGTCATATTCCAACATTGAAGTGGGTCTGCATGGTCCAGCGCTTTGTTCAACACAAGCCTGGTGCTTTATCTGGTGCTGCAGGCCGCTACCAGGCTTGCCTGCAGCCGAGATGTGTATCTGTAGTCAAGGGCTTTGCTCAGTGAAGGGCCCTCCCTTAGCGGAGAATACTTACCTTTTCTCATCGTTTGATAGCTATAGCATTGCACTGGCTATAGCAATACAGGCAGAGCTCTGGCTTCTGTTCGGGACAAGAAGATGGGGGAGGGAAGAGGGGCGCGGGGGAGTTTGTGAGTTGCGACTCATTACTCATAAGCACATCACAATCTGCAGCGCTTGCAGCATTCGCACGCAATCTTTAGTCTCAGACTAGTGTGCAGAGACTTTTATCACAGTTGCAATGCTCAGCTCATCACGTTGACAATTCAGCAAGGTAAAGCGGTCCCGTACATTGACGGATTGCCAGTGCTGGTAGCAGGCATGCAACAATGGA